AGCAGAAAAACCAGCCATAGTAGAGCACAGAAATACACTCCCCTAATTAGCATCTTTCTCTTTTAGCTTTCACACATTCACTGTTTGTCTTGCCTTTCAAGCACACCAATACTTCTCATTCCTTCTCTCCTGACGTGGCATACTCCCATCACAACACCCCATCTCCAATTCTCTGACTTACACATTACCCCTCTACCACCATTCCACCAACCCCGTGACATACTAGATTTTGGGAAGATGGAAGGGGCAATACCACCCAGGAAAAAAGAAAGGTACCACCAGGCAAGGGTGTACTTGTCAATTCTTTGTCCCCATGTCCACAGAAAAAATAAGCTACTAAAATAATAATACTAAAAAATAAGCTACTAAAATAATAATACTAAAAAATAAGCTACTAAAACTGTGACAGTATTGGATAGACGACGCTGTTTCTTCCACAAAGTGACCCTTACTTTTTTTGTTGTTGTTAGGCAATGGGGTTAAGTGACCTGCCCAGGGTCACACAGCTAGTAAGTGTTATGTGTCTGAGGCTGGATTTGAACTCAGGTCCTCTTGACTCCAGGGCTGATGCTCTATCCACTGTGTCACCTAGCTGCCCTGAAGTGACCCTTATTTTTAAAGGAAGAGACTTCCACATACTTTATTCTGCAGGTCATAGTAGGATTAGGAAAATCCCTATGGGAGAGCTCAAATCTTTCTAGTCTTGGAAGATGTTGTACAGACAGTGTAGACAGAAAAGCATTCTTAGGAATGTTAGCCACTCTAACGGTGTGGGGACAGCACAGAGGGAGGCACAAGATTATCAGGTGTAGTTGGAAAAACGCTCTCTTTCAGGAGGAACATGTTTCACTCTACATTAGTTTCTGGCCGCTTCCTTCCTGCCTTTTCAGTGTCTACTGTCCTTCTCAGTCTCCTTTTCCTCTTTCTGGCTGGCTCCTTCTCTTTCACACAGTTCAGCTGTGTCCATCAATGTCTTCATCCATCTTTCTGTCTCTTCCATCTTCACCTCTCTCTCCACTCGTCTCAGTCACAGACTCGATCTCACCATCCCTGCCTGGATTTTCCTATTTCATTTTCCCCTTCTATATCTTTCTTTTCCTGTCATTTCTCTCAAGGTCTCTCTGTTGCTTGATCTCTCCTACTCCATCTGTTTCCCTCCTTTTATATCTGCTTTTCAGGTGCCCCACAGCTGGCAATAACCTTTTCTGGTTACAGAGACCATAAGCTGTACTTGCTTTATTGATTGATTGGTTTTTATTTAAATTCTGTAGAGGAAAGAAGAGCATTTTACAAAATTAGAGAGAGCTTGAGAGAACACAAAAAGAACGGTCGAGAGAAGGGAAATGTCCAAGGAGAACCAATGAAAAGAAAGACAAAGATGGACCATGATAATGTTTCATGTTAAAGTGGGGCAAATCTTCAATGATGTTTACAATTCAACTGAGTTACAAAGGGTTAAGTACCAATTTTTGTTTGGCACTTAACTTGGCAGGGCAAAAGCTTCAGGCAGAAACAAGTTGGGTTAAATAAATCCAAGAAGCTGACATAGCTGGAATTTCTTCTGCTTGACCCACTAACAACTGCAAACAGGACGTTTTAGAAAGGCTCTCACTGAGATGCTTCAAGGAGGCATAGCCCCAGGATCTGAGAGCTTGGCTCTGAGACCAACATTAGCGAGAAGAGAGGACGATGTAGTGACATGGACAGACCAACCTGACTGGGTGGGGGAGGGGAGAAAGGATCCTAGACCTGGCAGGAGGGTTTAGGCAGTCGCTGATCCAGCACAGATCTGACTGCTGTGTTTGCTCCCTCCTCCTGCCCTCTATAATTAAACCTTTCCCATCACAATCCCTGCTTCCTGAGGGGAAACTAGATAAAAGGGGGAAAAAAAAGCAACAGAGATGCTTCGTTGTAATATTTGTGGGTAAGGGGAAAGAGATAAAGAACTTAACATCTTTTGTTGATAACTGCTGCTTAGTTGCAGAATTCTTAATCACAGCTGTACTCCTGAAAAGGGACAGTCATTCATTCATTCCACCCCCAACTCCCACCCTCCCCATTCCATCAAAATAATTCTTCTACCTTTCTCAGGCTGTGATCCCCTCTATCCCTCCTCTTGCTCCTCCAGTGTACTAGGTCCTGTGGAATCCTTAGCCTTAAATAAATCATTTGGTTTTTGGGGTTTTTTAATTCCCCCTCAAACAGGGTGACTTTCTACCACCCAAATGGTTTTGACAGGTTTCTCTTTGCTACCTGAGGATATCAAGAAACTGCCCTCCTAGTTTTGCCCAAAGAAGGAATACTCAGTAAATATTTTGCTTCTGTCCTTGTTTTAACTGTATTGGTCCCATCCCCACCTTCCAAACTTCCTGCAAATAACTGGTGGTGTTGCTCTCTTCGTTATGGCCCTTGATGCTAGGCCTAAACTGGTATAGATGGTTACATTAGTTAGTCTCTTCTGCCTTCTCTTCCTAGCCTTTCCTCCAAGGGAGAGGAGGTTGAAGAACTTCCAGGCTCATTTCTGTTCTCTGCCTAATGAGACTGGCCCCATTATGTGCCCCAAAGAGCTAAGGTTTGGTGTTACTGAACCAGTGGAGGGAGGGAAAGTTGTCAGTTGTCATCTGATGAGCTCGGTCGCTTTGCTGCCTGGGAACGGCAGTGAAAAATTAATCTTCCAGCTATTTAAGGCAATTTCCTTTCCATCATCCTTTGTCAAGAGGGCTGCACTGGGAAATGGATCTGATGGGAGTCCCTGAACTGGTACATTCCATCCAACAGCATTACCCAAGTGCTGAGCAGCATCCATCATCCCCATGCAAACTGAGACACAGGCCATCGCTGCCAGAGATGACTCTTCCCAAGTACACAGCTGCAGAGCAAAGTTAGTTATCATTGTGCCAATATATAGGCACACATTGAGATGCCTCTGTGTTTCCCACTGCTCCTTTTCTTTCAGATTCCCTACTACACCTCTGCCTATAGAAGAAGTTTACCCCTTTCACTACAAATATGGAATGGAGAGAAACCAGGACATTACAGAAAATATAGGACTTCAGATTATGGGTTTTCCAGTCTCAAACCCCAAGATTTTATGGTGCCCCCTAGGGTCTCCCACTGAATCAAAAGGGTTAATCCAGATCCCTCTCTAGCTGTAGGGTTTCCCCTTGATTAGCCTGGGGGTGAGGGGCCAGGCACAGTCAGGTTGCGTCTCTACAATACTCACAAGAGTTAGGACTAGGGAAAAACAGTTTTGTTTTTGTTGCCCATTAAATATTTCAGGTAACTTAAAAATCTTACAATGTAAATTAAAATGTAAAAAAAACCTTGTAAAACAAAATGAACGTGCATTCTATTTTAAAAAGTCTTACAATTAAAAAATAAATCAGTATACCATGGTGCTGGTGTTTTTCTTTAAAAATGAGAATGAGGAGAGGCCCCCTAAACTCTTGGTGCCTAGAGGTATCACAGGATCACTTGCAGAGATCCCTCACTATGAACAGAATAGATACAAACAGAAAGCTCTTTGAGATCCAGAAGTCCCTTGATTTTTTTCTATTCATCTCCAGACCAAAGTATCTGGGGAGACCTTACTGATTTTCAGCATTCTTCTTCCCAGGCCCAGGGGAAGAGTATTTTCTTCTTTACCCTTTCTACCAGCGGCCAGGCATAATCCTACCCTTACCACCCCCAAAGAAAGAAGATGAATGGAAATGTGCCTTGAGCCACAGCCAATAATTTGCTGTTTCTCCATGCCCACAGAACCCTGGGACACGATTCCTGCCAAGAGTAGCTGTAGACTTATTCTAGACCCATCCTAGCAGTTCCCCTGCTGCTAGGGGCTCCTCAGGCACTTTTCATCAAGATGAATCTCCTTAGCACCAGTCGTTTGTTTTCCAAACTCACTTCTCCCGATCTCACTAATTCCCAATTTCCTTGCATTTGACAAATGCAATTAACAAGCCTCGATCAGTTCCTGGCAGACAGCCCTCATCAATCAATACAGAGACTACACAGGGCTAAGGAGTAAGAGAGGAGGGGGGAGTGAAAGAGCAATAAGGGGAGAGGAAGCAGCTGCAGTGGGGATGGATGGAGGCCTTATTACTCTTTTCTTCTAGGAGCCTTCCTTGTGGATCAATGATACTGGTGTTAGTGTTCTTACCTACTGCTTTTCCTCCTTCCTGTTAACCAAGCACAGGTATTGTGCTGTTGATGCTTTCCGAGTCCACTCCAGCACAGCAAAGAGAAAAGTCCTTGCATCAGACCCTCCACTGGTTCCCTCCTCTCCTATTTTTTATGGTTTCTCCCTTCAAATACCTCTTCTATTTTCCCTAACAGAAGGCCTTGCCATCTGCTGCCACCATAGCTGGGGACCCCCTCAGTGCTCAGCATGATAAATCAGTCATCTCTGCTCAAAGCAGGGCCTCTTCCCCACCCAAACACTACATTGACAGCTATAGGTGGGCCCTAACCCAATCCATTCCCAAGATATGATAGCCACCCACCTGAGTACCAGTACGGTAGCAAGCATGCTAGGGGGCCTGGGGTCAGTACGTTTATACTCATCTATTTGTCCTCTCCAGTTTTAGGGCCCAAACTTCAGCCCCTCCCTCTTTCAAAATACAAGAACATTTACCCTTAGATTTCATTTCCCCCAAACTTTTAAGCACCAGTCTCCCCTTCACAATCATGGGGTGGAAGCCTTCTCCTCTGCTGCCCTGTCTGGCACAGACTTTTGTGCATCTTTCCACCTCATCAATTTTTCATCTCTTTACAAACTGCACTGGGAAGTGTCTTTCCCCTCCTCCCTGCCTCTCTCTCCTTCTCCTTTGTTATTAACCTCCTGAGCAGGGACATTAATGTATTCACCAGACAAAGTCTTCACACCACTGTTTCCTGTAATTACAGTGCATCCCTCCCACTGTCCTGGCTTATTTGACTGTAAAGTGCTTGGAGGAGGGATGGTGTGGACAAAAGACATGGACAAAAGACACAACGCTAGCTGGGGTTGAGTTGTATAATGTTAACAACAAAGTAAAATGAACATTAGCTCCTGTAGCAGCTTATTAATAAATCAATAACATACAGAGGTCAATGAAGAGTTGCTTTTAAAAATAATCAAGTCTTAGACAAGAAAAAGAGCCAGGTCCCTTTCCAGTTCTGGACGGTGAACTCTGTATCCCTGGCATCAAACATCAGTCACCCCAAGAAACTCAGAAAGCAACTCCCCCCAACCTCCTTCAGAGGGCTGCTCCCTGATACTTGTCATTCAGATCAGCTACATTGTCACTGGAGACTCGGATCCAGCCATCCTCTCGGACATGGTAAAGGTTGACCACACCTCCTGAGTAGGCATCCCGATAGGTGGCCTGGTAGATGGCTCTCCGAGCTAGGTCATAGGCATCTTCCACAGATAGATCAAATGAGTAGCCCCGGTCCATAACCCCATAAGCATAGACAGAACCTGAGCCCACAGAAAAGGTGGTTCCAGAGATACGGTTTCCCTCACTGTCCACGTAGTACAGGCCTAGAAGGAATAAAACAAAGTTAGGATGTTCAAGACTGGTTAAGGCAATACCACCTCCTCACATACCCTACCAAAACACATTCTGGTTCAAACTCCCAGTCATAACCATAGCAAAGTCATAACCATAACAATAAACTGAAAAATGAGGCAAATTGGAGAGAATCACATTTAAAATCTTAAATGTGGGTTCCTAAGGATTACATGAAACCACTTCTCCCTATCTTGTAATGAAAAATAAAGATATTTGTTCTGATGTGCTCAATCTCTACTTAAATAAACCACCTGATGTCTAATCAGTGACCACTCTGTATTGAACACCGTTTTATCAAGTGCTATGAGGCAGGCAGACAAAAGTGAAGGACACACTGTCCTTAGGGAGAATCTAGCTGAGAAGGCATGAAACAATTGGAATACTACATGCTAGTACAAAATAAAGGCTATATTACAGTTTAGCACTTCAAATGCCACAAGAGTTCAGGGGAAGGAGAAAGAGATTGGCTGGAATGGAGTCAGAGAGAAGGGCTGAGTCGAACCATCCTGGCCACGTAGTTTAATTCCCTGCATTCTCTCAGATACTTCCCTCCTTGCCCAATCCAAACTTGGATTAACCTTGCTCACCACTCACGCCCATCCCTAAGCATTCAACCACTCAAAGTCCAGCTTTTCCAAAAAGTCTGCCTAGGCCAGGCAAAAGGAGTAAAACTTTCTATTCTCCATCTCCACTAAGGTGAAGAAAAGAACTGCTAACAGAGTTTTGTCAGAGAGGAAAATCTTCCTCAGAGGCCTGTTAAAAAGCACTCCAAAAGTGTGTGTTGGAATGCGTTTTTTGAAAAATATGAGGAATGATTAGGTAAGTTAGCAAAACATCCCCCAGAGGCTCTTTTCAGCCTGAAGAGGCTAACCAAAACCAGCCAAGTCAAGAGAACAGTCAACGCAGGCCTCCCTAGCACTCTATCAGGCTCTTTGCAATCCATCCCTACTCAGCAACCCACAGGATCCATGCAGTTAACAGGACTCACCAGGCCCTCGCTTATCCCAGCCACAAATCATGGTACCCATGGACAGCCCCATGCCTTTGTACTGATAGACCATGTTGGCCAGCAGCTTGGAGGCAGCAGCCACAGAGATGCGCTCCTTGTTCCGCAGCTCGTAGATCCGGCACTGTCGGGCCAGCAGGCGCTCCCAGAAGCTGCAATCCGCAGCTCCCCCCGCCATGGTGCCTAGTAGGTAAGGGTTGATCTCAATCACCTTCTTCACTGTCTGGGAAGCAATAAAAGCACCAGCTGTGGCCCGTGAGTCCACGGCAACAATCACGCCATGCTGAAACTGAACAGAGAGGGAGAAAAGGGGAGCCACATTAGCTTCCAACTAGTGTATTTCCCGAGTTGCTTTTCAGAATCCCTCAGTACCCCTCCTCCAAAGACCATTTCCCTTCCCATAGCTTTATAAAAAACAGATTAGAGGAGCCCTGTGGCTTTTATCGTTGCCTAGTTGCAGGACCTTGGGCAAGTCACTTCTCTGTGGCTCTGGCAACGCCAGTCCCGTGGGGCTGGGATCGCCTTCACCCTGCCTCTCACAGAGGATTTTCATTTGGATTAATTATCTCACTGGACCCGCACTAGGTGTTAGCCCTACTCGACAGTCGAGGGCACTAAGGCTCAGAGACGTTGCCCACCTTGCTTGACGTCACACAGCTAGCTATCCGCACAGCTCGGACCAGGGGCTGGTCTCCTGGCCCCAAGTTCTGGGGCATTTGCCCTCATCACCGTGACATGGCATTTTGGATGCCCCAAAGCCCTCAGGGCTGCCTCCGGCCACTCCCCGCCCCCACTGCCCTAGGTCACATTCCCCCGTGGCCCCCCACCTCCCCCACCCCCCAGGCTGGCCCGGGCGTCACCGGGAGCTGCACCGTCTCCATCCCCAAGGCCCAGGCTCGAGAGCGAGCCCCGCGGTGGCTGGGCCGCAGCAAGGGGCGCTGGAAGGGTCGGGCAGCTGCTCCCCGAGGCCTCCACGGCAGGAGAGCGGCGAGGCAGGGGCCCCGGGAGGAGCGGGAGGTGTTCGGGGGTCGGCCTGAGCCGGGAGGCGGCATCAGCACCTTGAAGGCCAGGGTGGTGGTTCCGTGAAGAAGCTCGATTCCCGGCTCGTCCGGGGCCCCCCAGCCGGGAGCCGCCAGGCACAGTTCATCTCCGGGCCCCCCCCGGACCCAGGTCCAGCAGGTCCGAGCGACCCCCGAGCCCGAAAAATCCGGCGCCGTTCACAGGCAGCGGCCTCTCCAACACGCTGGCCAGCGCCATGTTTACTTGGGGAAAGCGGAAGTCGACCGGCGGCTTCGCGTCGTCCGCAATATAAGGCTCAGCGGCCGTTTTGGAAGAGGGCAGCCTGGATCAAAACAATGGGAGTGGCCAGCCATCTTGAGTCCGGGCAGCCTGGGTCCCGCCCCACGCCCAGCCTGGGTCCCGCCCCACGCCCAGCCCAAGCCCCACCGAGAAAGCCGCTTTAGCAAAGGGGGAAAAGTCGACCCTCTTTATTCTCATTCAAACTTTGGGTGCCATCTTGATTTGAGTTATAGTGCACTTCAGCTTCCAGGCCACAGGAGACAGCTCCCAAGTCGAAAGTGGCGGCCATCTTGGAAAAGGGAATGACTGGCTGAAAAGCAGTTTTGAGCCTACTTAGCTCTACTAACCTTCCCTCATTTCCCCCTCTTTCGGGTCTTACTCTACATTAAACCAACCGTTGAAGCCACTCGGTCTACCATTTTGGATAAGGGCAAAACCTAATTGTGAGTGGAATCTTGCTATGGGACCATTTCCCTCTGAAATAAAACCATACTGCAGCAATCTGAGGTAACAGAAAGGCATTTAATAAAGGAGGTCCATCAATAACTCCGTAAACTCCCAATTAGTTGTTAAAAACTGATGGCCTTTTCATCCACTTGTGTTAATAGCGTTGTTAAAAGCAGAACAATTAGCATATTTGAGATTCATTTTACTCTTATCCTTTGGTGAGGATTCTAATAAGTCAGTGAACTGGCCAAATGTTAAATGCCAGGAGCCAGAAGGGAGAAAAGGTACTTGGAAAATCCAGCCCTGAACAATGGAATTAACAGCAATATGACAACAGGGAACATCTATCCATCCATCTGGAGGAATTCCAGGAACATAAGAATGTAGTGGAAAGAGTAGGAATACATGCTATTAATAGCACTGACACTAATTAGTTGTAAGACCTTGGCCAAGTCCCTTCATCTCTATGGGCTTTAGTTTTTACTAATCTATAAAATGAGGGCTTAACCTAAATTAGCTCTAATGTTTCTTCTATCTCTGGGAGGAAAGATTGTTTTAAGTTTCCAATACAAATATGATTATTAAAAATGTGTGGAACAAGGCAATGAAATATGTCACAGAATCACAGAACTTAGATTTGGAAGGGGGTCTCAAGTATTTAAAGGGCTGTCATGTAGAAGAATTAAAATTGTTATGTTTGATCCTATGGGTCAATGGATGAAAGTAGCAAGGTAACAAATTTAGGCTTCATGTCAGGAAAAACTTCTAACAGAGCTATCCAGAAGTGGAACAAAATGCCTCAGAGAAGTGGTGAGAGAGACTGTATGACCACTTCTCCAGTATGTTATAGTGAGCATTCCTTTTGGATATGGATTGGGCTAGATGGCTCATGAGATCCCCTTCCAAATCTAAATTCTGTGATTCTGTGGCATATTTCATTGCCTTGTTCCACATATTTTAACTCAGTTGGGAGGCCAGATAAAACCAGAAAGTGAACATGTATTTATAATGATGTAGTCACTTCTGGGTATAGCATGTAAATCCCTGGAATTCCAACTAGCATCAGCACCATCCTTTCCATGACAGCCACTGGGGATGAAAAAACCTTAACCCTCCTTTGTCCCACCTTTCCAAACATACACCTTTAACCTTTTCAGACACTACATGTGTTGAATTCTCAAACCTGAAATCTAGCAACCTTCTTTAAGCTCTCCTATCAAACTGAAAAGAAGGAATATATTTTCCCCCACACTTGGATCATACAGGAATTGCAGGATTCATCTAATCAATCAAATATTTTTCCAGTGCCTACTATTCTCCCTCACTTCTTTATTTCTATAAGTAGTGGCATTATTCTTCCAGTTTTCCAGATAAGAAATCTGGCAATCAACTTTGGCTCCTCCCTCTTAACCATGTCCTGTCAATTCTTCTTTCACACAGTCTCTCAATTCCATGTTTCCATTTTGTTTCTTCTTCTTCAGGGAGTAAGCTTCCTATTCCTCATTCTTAGATTGTAGCATACCTTCTACCTGGTCTCCCTGCCTCTAGTCTCTATCCTCTTCTAATTCATTTTATAGCTTGACACTAAATTAATTCTTAATAATAATAATAGCTAATATTTATATAGTGCTTACTATGTGCCAGGCACTGTGCTTTACAATTATTATTTCATTTGATCCTCACAATGACCTTGAGAGGTAGGTGCTATTATTTTTTTCTCATTTTTAAAAAAATATAAATTTATTTATTTTTAGTTTTCAACATTTACTTCCACAAGATTTTGAATTCCAAATTTTTACCCCATCTTGCCCCTCCCCCCACCCCAAGATGGCATGCATTCTGAATACCCCTTCCCCTAGTCTGCCCTCCCTTCTATCTCTCCACCCCCTTCTCTTATCCCCTTCCCCTTCTATTTTCCTGTAGGGCAGGATAGATCTCTGTACCTCATTTCCTGTATTTCTTATTTCCCAGTTGCATGTGGAAATATTTTATAGGTGCTATTATTATTATCTCCATTTTACAATTGAGAAAATTGAGGCAGGCAGAGATTAAGTGACTTGTCCAGGGTCACACAGCTAGTAAGAATCTGAGGTCAGATTTGAACTCAGATCTACCTGATTCCAGTCCCAGTGCTCATCAGCTGTCTCTTAAGTGTGACTTTGACTCTATCAAAAAAAAAACCATCTAGTGGCTTTCCATTGTCGGTAGAATAAAATCCGTAACCTGGCTTTCATGGGCTTTCATAACATACTCCTGGTTCCATTGTGTTCCATTTAACATAATCCTGGTTCCATCTATGCTCCCATAGCTCTTTGTATGTTCTTTCTTTTTTTTAAACAAGTTTTGGCCAGTTTATTAAGAAATACTTTTGTACAGTTTATTTTTCACTGGTTTGTTCAGGCATGCTTCTAATGATATCAGAATCACCTGGATCAATGATAGCCAGTGTACATACTCTGTAGTACTTCCCACACGCTGTACCCAATTCAATGTTATTGCCACTGTAGTGATGGACGCCAGTTTTGCCTAACATAGCGTAATATTCAATCTCTGATTTCTTCAAGGCTGGGTAGTTGTTGGCTAAGATGACCAATTTGGCTTTGCCTTGTCTGATCATTTCCAGGGTCTGAGCCTAGCATATATTTGCCACTTTTCATGACCAGCTGGAGCCTGGAGTTGATGGACTTCATAACTTTTTCGTCTCCTTTTCAGCCACCACCTTCCTGCCCACGGTGGGGGAGGACCCTCAGCCAGAGACCTGCCGCCAAGATGGCCGAGAAGCGAGAAAGGAAGGAGCTCCCACAATGCTGTTTGTATGTTCTTTATTTCTGAAATGTCATCCCAATCCCCTCCATCCCCCCCCCATAAAAATCTTACTCATCCTTTTAAGTTCTAGCTCAAATGCCACCTCTACTATGAATTCTCCCGATTCTACTTCCCTTTCTGTTCTGTTGTACCTTCCCCCCTATCCCATACCTTATCAGCAATGATCACCGCACAGATTTTCAGCTAGGGGGCCAGGGAAGTCTTCATGTACAGGGTAGCATTTGAGCTGAGCTTTGAATGATAAGGAAGGGAAGGGAAGGGAAAGGTAGGGATAGGTAGAGTTTGGAATGATGGCATTCCATGGTGTAGGCAAAGGCAAACACTTATTCAGTGAACAATAGCAATTGGTCTTCACCTCTCATGAATTATTTTGTATAATAGCTATTTGCATGTGTTTCGTGTTCCTGTACTAGATTAGGAGGTCCACAAGGTCAGGGATCCTGTCTGCTTTCATCTGTGGGCTCTCCTACTGCCAAATAGTACTCTGTGCATGGTAGTCACTTAATTTTTTGTTGAAATTATACCATTTTATGGCACTAATAATATGCTGTCTCATATTACAGATATATATTTGTCCATGTGTTATCTCCTCTACTAGACTATAAGTTCTTTTAGGGCAGGGACCTGTCTTGTGAAACTTTACATCCCCCATGTCTTACACATAGTGGATGCTCAACACATACCGATTGAATAAATGAGAAGAGGTTGTTGTAGGGATATGAAGAAGTATAAGATTTTGTTCCTCCCCTCAGGAAGCTTACAGTTTGATTGTGGAGACAAGATATAGGACCTGTCAAAAGCTCGAATATTCCAAGCAATATATAGGGAGTGTGAAATGAATGTTACAGACAACGGCTACAGGAGAGTCGAGGTGGGAAGAGGTTGTAACAGGATAGTCAGAGAAGGCTCAGAAAGGAGGTGGGATCTATGTTGGGCTTTGAGTGAAGATTCAGATAATCAGGGAGGAGAAAGGAGGGTATTCCAGATATGGTGAGGAAGAAATGGTGGTTGATGGTGCTACGAATAGATAAACAAAGGCAGGAATATACACATGTTGAGGAAAGACAATGAATAGGCCCATCTGTCTACAGCAGAAAGGCTTTGTAAGGGAGAAATGGGAATTACAAAGAAGCAAGTTGTGGCCAGATTATAGCAGGCCTTAAATATAGTGGGCTAAGATATCTGGGTTTTATGTTGTAGGCAATGAGGACCCACTGAAAGTTTTTAAGCAGAAGAATAATATGAAAATATCAAAGGTTTTGGAAGATTAATCTGGCTGTAGGGTTCAGGACCAGTTAAAGAGACTGGGGGCTGGGAGACCGGTGAACTCACCAGACCTGTAATTGTCCAGGTGAGAGGTGATAAGGAAAAGGGAAAGAGGCAGTGGGAATGGAAAGGAAGACATCTAATCAAGAGGCTCTGTAATGAGAGAATGAACAGAACCAGCCACAGAAAGAGAAGCTTGTCCTGTACTTTGAGGCACAATTCTGGGTTCTTTAGGCCTCCCAGAGTAGGGGGATGGGCTAAAAGATCTTGAGAGAAACCTTGTGATATCGTTTTGCGCCAGCAGAACTGTAAGAGGAGGCAGTGTACCTCTCTGTGACCAAATGACTTCTCCCCCTTCCCAAGGGTCTGTGAAACCCCTCAGGATTCCAAAAGGACTACTGCTCGGCATGACCTGGGTTAGCACATGATACTAAGAGGGATCCCTGCACAGACCTCTTAGCTTTACCCCATTCTATGGCCATAGACGACAAGCCTAGGCCTGATTAGCTGTCTTGGAAATGAATGCTATTTGTCACAAATGAGAGAGTGTGGCTGGATTAGTGCAAATCTTTCCCCACTGTTGGAAGAACAACTCGAAGCATACTTCCTACTGATGGTCAGTGTTATGGGGTTTTTTGTTTTGTTTGTGTTTTTTTAAGTGGGAAGGATGGGCTGTGGCACATTAATGCTAGGGCAGCGAGGGGCAGTTGCAAATTACAATTTCTTGTCAGACTTACCTCTAGTGAAGGCTGCCTTGTGTGGAAGGGATTTGAATTTTTTTTTTCCTTTTACTCTATTCTTCCTCCCCTTTTCTGTGAACTCGGCTAAGTCTGCAGGAAGGAAGGAAGGACAGGAAGATGGGGAGAAGAGAATAATAACAAAACTGACATTTATACGATGCTTTAAGGTTTGCAAAGTGTTTCACATGCATTATTCCCCTTGAATAGGGCTATGAGATAGCTATTCCAGGTATCATGATCCTCATTTTATCGATACCAAGTAAGAAGGGAAGAAAAGAAAGCAAGAAGGCAGGTAGGTCACTCCTACCTTTCTCTGCTATTATCCCAGCTCTGCTTCCTTATCCTACTCCAAGAAATCCCCTACTCCTCCATGCTTTCCAGGGGATACATGAAGTATGACGAAGAGGTGATTCCATGGGTCGCTCTCAGGCACAACCTGGGTGGTAGTGGATGAAGCTTTCCTACTAATGACAGCATACTCCCAGCCATGGGACTCCTCCTGCTATGCCTGATCCTCTTTCAGTAGAACCTTTTAGGGGGAGGGGTAGAAGAAGAGGAGCGTCAGTTGTCAATACTCTCTAACTCTGGCTGCAGTCCAGCTTCTCAGTAGCGTACCTTATCTTCCCCTGGTCCTGCCTTACCTCACCACAGTCCATATAACCCTGCTCAATTCCTTCTAGTCTCCACTTGCTTCCTAAGATGGCTCTGGAGAATGTGTGCAATTGGCAGGCCCCTGAAGCCCTGAGCCCTCACCTGCCTGGGGCTGGGGACTGGACCATCCCCAGGGGCTATGACCCTCCTGTCTTTCTGCAGACACAGGGTCCAGAACTGGCACATGGCACTACTACGTTAGCCTTCCGATTCCGCCATGGGGTCATTGCTGCAGCTGACACCCGATCTTCCTGTGGCTCCTATGTGGCATGCCCTGCTTCCCAGAAGGTCATCCCTGTCCACCGGCACCTTTTGGGCACAACTTCAGGCACCTCAGCTGACTGTGTCACCTGGTACCGAATACTGAAACGGGAACTGCGCCTTCGGGCTCTCAGGGAGGGCCAGCTGCCCACTGTGGCAGGGGCTGCCAAACTCCTCTCTACTATGCTGTACCGTTACCGGGGCTTGGGGTTGTGTGTGGCCACAGCCCTGTGTGGTTGGGACCGGGCTGGCCCTGCCCTCTTTTATGTCTACAGTGATGGGACCCTTCTGGCCGGTGATGTCTTCTCCGTGGGCTCTGGCTCACCCTATGCCTATGGTGTGCTGGACCGTGGCTACCACTATGACATGACTGTCGAAGAGGCTTATACTCTGGCTCGCCAAGCTGTGGCCCATGCTACCCACAGGGATGCCTATTCAGGTGGCTCTGTGGACCTATACCACGTGAAGGAGAGTGGCTGGGAGCGAGTTTCTCGAGAAGATGCCTGTATGCTGTACATCAGACTGCAGGAGACTGGGGAACAAGGGGAAGAGACCACCCCTACATCCCCCTGAGCCTTCTCTTCCTTTCCCCCATTTCTACTTGGAACTCAGTGAACCAACAAGACAAAGGACATGCCACTGTGGTCCACGAAGAGATTCCAGAGCCAGAGGAGGAGACTCTTGGAGGCAGAAGAGACTGAGAGATTCTGGGAGAAGTGGAAGCCATATATTGAAAGCATGCTGACAAGGTGGCCAGGTGAATGAAGCCGTCCAGGGACCAAATCATGTGACTCCATCTACCCCAGATCTCCCTCTCCATTTACTGGAAGCCTCCATCCACCGCTGCCTTCCAGACCAGTTGACTTCTCTTGTTGTCCTCTGATTGATCCTGATAGATCCCTCAAGCCTTCTCCCCTGCTCTGAATTTTCCCCCTAAGAATGTAAACTGGGTTCCCTGGATTCACTTTCCTCTCACCCTTTTCCCTTCTTTGCTCTCCTACACGTGCTTTCCCCATGCCTTTCTACCTTTTTGTTTTCTCCATTGAGACTTCTGTTCCTTCCTGCCGTTAGCTGTTTCTCTCCTCTGCTTTCTCCCTTTCTTTGTTTCCCTTTAATTCTGTGGGTGGAACTACTTTTGGCACCCTCCCGTTGTTCCCTCCATCCCCATCCAATACTGCCCTCAGCTCTTCCCAGCCTGTTTCTTATACTGGGACACTGGGGATGCTAGAGTCTGACCTCTATGCAGGGGTTAATTAATTTCTGAGACAATGCTTCCAGCTCCACATTTCTATAGTTGTCAGAGAATAAGGAATCTCCTAACAGGGAGGGAAACAAATTCCTGGGCTGGGCTGCAGAGGGGTTCAAAAAATCAATTGTACAAGTATAGTTCAAGTAGGGAGGAATTATGGCTAAGACAATGATTCCTGTGAACAAGATCTGGGGGTCAGAATTTAGTGGACAGAAAGTTCGAGATGTGTTAGCCATCAAAAAAGCTGATTCAATCTTAAGCTACAATAAGAGAGGAAAATAATTCAGAAATACCTTCTTGGTCATACCACACTTGAAGCACTTCCTTCTGTTCTGGTAACTACATGTTTTTAAAAATATATTTTTATCGATAATTTTTGTTTTTACATCACCTACATTTATCATTATATTCCCTTCAGAGATCTGTCCCTTATAACAAATAATAAGAGGAAAAACAAAACAGCTCAGTGCAAATAACTGATATGTTGAAAAAAATTTGACCTGAGCTACAGTGTTCAATACCTGTAGTTTCCCTACTTTTGCAAGGAATGCTTACTATTGTCAAGTTAAGAGTTCATCCAGAAGCATGGACCAAGAAGTCTGTGAGACTAGAGAAGATGTCACAGAAGATAAACAGAGGCAAAACTAGAAGACAACGTTAGGTTGCAGAGAGGCAGATTTAGGCTTAGCGTAAGAGAAAACTTCTCTAACAACGTGGAAGTCCAAGAGTAGATTCCCCAACACTGGATGTCTTCAATCAGAATGTTCAGAGCTAAAAGGAACATCTTAGACATTATCTCATCTAACTTCCTCTTTTTACAGATAAGGAAACTGAGGCCCAGAGAGATGAAACAACTTGCCCCAAAACATGGAGACAGCATCTGGTAGAGCCATTATTCAAATATAGAGCTCTTTTCATGTGCCCCACTGTATCTCAGCTCTTGTCAGGGATGTTGCAGAGATGAGAACAGACAGATGGTCTAGATGACCTCTGAAATCCTTCCTCCTCTGATTCTGGGACCTTGCTCTGGCTAAGTTTATAACTAGCTTCCCATCAATTCTTGTTTCTGGCAAAGATTCTTCAACTCTTCTCCTTCTTCCTCCTGGAACATCTAACTGCCATGCTGGCCTTCTTTTCTTATGGGTGAGTTTTTCATGGGACTTCCCTTTGGGAGAGGGGAGGGGCCCAGGTAGACCAATCTTTACACCCCTTTTACTGTGCTGCTCATTTTCTGAGAACACCAGGCCTCAAAGGTGAGTACCTTTACCCACCTCCTACCCCCTTTTTGAACTCTCTTCTGTCTATTGTCTTCCACTATTAGTATGTAAGGGTGTTATAAACGCTTGTTACCTACATACTATCTTCTCTACCCTCTTTTTCTCCCCTCAACTGCTTTTCCGGAGGACAACCACCTGCCTTTGGGAATCAAGAGTCTAAAGGGTTTTATAACCCTTTGTTCCCAGAACCATAGTTTTCCAATGTACTCCCAGTTAATGTCATATGTTTGTGGGGTTAGGTGAAAGAAATGATGGGGGAAAGGGGGGAAGAGAGACAGAAAGACATGGGAAGCAAAGCAGTGAGGAGAAGTGGCAGAGGAGGTTGTGGGGATGGCTAGAACCCTTCAGAGTGAGTCTGGGCTGTGGACTAGAAGTGGAGGGGTAAACTGGAGAGGAAAATGGATGGCCAGTTGCTTTCAATCTTTCATTTTGAATATAGTTCCATTCTCCCATAGCACACCTGCACCACTCAGGGGATGCTCTGGGAACCATAAAGAAAGGAAAGGACTGATTTCAGGGGGAGAAGGGGGTGAGGTAGGGAAGGAGAACTTCCCAACGTCTCATGTTCAAGTTATATATATGTATGGCTCTGTATATGTATGGAAGGGAGGTATTATCTGTAATCAGTGATGATACACAGGTGAAGCAGATCAGCAATTAGTACCAGGTGCCCTGAGTAATTAGCAACCCATGTTGTTTTTATTGAGAGAAGCAAAAAAGGGCCACTTGGTCCTAGGGTTTAAATGTTTAATGCATAGTAGGGTCTGTACCTGTGTTCACATATTTGCGGGGGCCTGTTTGCAAACTAATAATAGCTCACGTTCATATAGCCCTTTAAGTTTTACAAAGGTTTACATGGGGAAGAGGGTGTCTTTACCAGTGTTAGCTTATATACATATAAAGATTTAGACACAAAAATGGCAACACAGATGGAGAGACACATGACACACGCATAGCCCCCACAGAGACAGCCATGAAGATTGTCTTTAAGAGATTTTCCATGCTATCTCTTCCTCTTGCTCTAGAAGGGGGAGGAGGTGGGGTCAAAGGTCCCCTTCTTTGGCTTTCCTTGACTCCTCAGTTCTTTAGACTCTCCTGGAGAACTGGGGTAAAGGAAAAAGGACAGGGAAGGAGGAATTCCATGGAGTAAGTAGCCAAGGGGGTCTCTTAGCTGATAGGGGGCCAATGCCTCAGAACTATCTTCCCTAGATCCTGGGGGGGGGATGGGATGGAAGGAGAAAGAGTGCAATCATTCATCATGTATGGGGAGAGTCATTTTGATCCTCTTTGAGTGCCAAGGACAAGCAATAGGGTGAGACTAGATTACCTCTAAAATCCATTTCACATGTAAGGTTCTATAAGCAAACCCAGATTGAGTGGGAGAGGGCATGGGAATGAGCCCCTTTCTTTCCTCCTTTAATCTCTCTTCTATTGCTTCTTACCTCTCTTCTTAGGACTATAGATTTGGGGCCGGAAGGGACCTCATCTGGTCCAGCTCTCTCATTCTGAAGCCCAGAGGAGTTAGATGCCTTGCCCAAAGGTCACACAGGCAGCAAGGAGCAGATAGAGAATTTTGATGGGGTGCTCAGGCTGCAGCCCTAAGATCATGTCTCTGGAAGCCTCCCAATTTCTCAATAAGCCCCTGTACTGTGAGAAAAATCTCTCTTGTTGCAGAACACAGTCTCTTATGAGAACATTCAGAGGGGTGCCTGGCCCAAGGAGTTTTGTGCCTAGCTGGCCCAAGGACTCTCTTGTCATCAGATCCCCAAGGTCTATGTCTTTAACAACTCCTTCAATGTCTGGTATACTCCCTACACTTTCCCATCTATAGCTCTCAAAGACACCTGGATCCCTAGATTACCTAATTAGCATCCCTGGCATTCTTTTCCCATGACCCTTTTCCATATAAGCCCCAGCACCATCGTAATTCTCTTGAAGGTTCCATAAGGACCCTTGCCCGCTTTTGCTAAAGTGTTACAATAAACTTTTTGCCACTTGACTAAGAAAAGGCTTGAGTGTGTGAATTCATTCCAGGCAACTGTGCCTTGATTCTCAGGCTCCCAGCACCCCCAGACCTCATCAATTTGATCCCAGGTCCTCTGCCTTCAGAATAAGGCAGTGCACCATTGCTTCTCCTCCTACTCCTCTATTTTCTGCTATCTTCCCTTATCCTTTTCTCTCTACCCCATCCCTTCATTCCTCTCTTTTTAGCTCCCTCTTTCCCTTTTTTCTTCCCCTTTCTTTCCGATTGATAAGTTATTTATCACTCCAATGACCGGTTCTAAGGGTGATGAAGGTCTTGTCCACATATTATTTCCAGAATCCTTCCTGGCCTTATTATTAGTAAAGTGAAGGATTATGGGAACATTGGAGAGGAGGGAATGAAGTTGGGGAAGGGCAGGTATCTGTACTGCTGTTCCCATTCTCCCTGTCCTGGTTCTACAGTGGTTCCAGTGACTAGAATCAGATGTCAAGGACGGTCTGTGATGGATCAGGGTGGAGGAAGCTAAAGTACAGGACCCAACCCTCCTTACCTATCCTCTATACATGCCCCCTGCTGGAAGAAGAGAGCAACGTTCACAGGGAAGCTTAATGGATCCCCACATTTTGTATTTCTCAGCCAAATTACCCTTGACCACCCTTTTCTTAATTGGGGAAGGGACTGATTGATCATCCCTTCCTTTTGCCAGACCAGGAATATGCACTATTATATATTTTGTATCATATATTGCATATCTTCTTATTTCCAATTACCCCCAATTCTGATTCTGCCACTTACTGGATGAGTAACCTTGGACAAGATCATTTAACCTCTTTGAACTCAGTTTTCTCATCTGTAAAATGGAGATAATAATGTTTGCCCTACCTAAATTTACAGGGTTGTTATGAGGAAAATTTTATAAACCTGAACAGTGATAAATAAATGTGAGTTATTTTTTATTCTACCAGCAGTGCATTGCTGAATTTCTCCTCTTTCCTAGTGGTTTCTCTTTTAGTTTCCTCTCATTTTACCTCCTCCTTGCCTTGACTGCTCTCCACTTCCTCTTCCCCTCCACCCCTCTTCAAAATATGAATCTCCCCAGATGCAATCTGAGGTCGATGGAATAGTACTGGTAACCAAACTCAGTTTCCCTTTTCTCCCCTACACAGAGAGAGCCCCTAGGGGAGTCACCCCCAGTCTGGTAATGAGGGAAGGGTTTGTCAGTGGGGCACAAGGGAGTGGAGGAAAGGAAAGAGGAGCACAGGAGAGGGGTCAGGGACAAGAGCAGACAGGGAGGAGAAAAAAAAGAGCTAAGCTAAGTGTCATATCAGAAGAAGAAATAGGTAGAGTGAGGCTAGGGCCAGGGACTTCACACTTGTTCCTTCATGCCTTGAAATCTTATAATGAAACCTTGGTTTAAAAGGATAGCCACCACTCAGACCTTACAAAATAAAGTGTTTGTTTATTATGAAATTAGAGATGGAGGCCCCTCCCTCCCTCCCACTTTCTCCCTTCCCAGCTGCTCCCCCCACCCCCTATCCCCACATTCCCTTCCCCTTGGGACATGGAAGCACACGATGTGAAATGCCCAAAGTAGGCCAATAGCCAGACCACCCCCAGGGCCAGAGCTCCCCAGAGATGTGGCCTGGGGGGCAGACTCAGGGTTTTGGCCCCTTGGGCAAGGGCCTAGCTCCCTCTCCCCGCTGGAGGTCAGTTGGGCCAGGGTGAGGCCATGAGTGATGGATGGAAACCATGCGGGCAGAATCTGTAGGGAAATGAGAGGAGATGTAAAGGTCTATACTCTCACCTATCTTATCCCCACTATGAAATGTTCCCTCTCACTTAGCTCTGCCCCCAAGGAAGTAAGAGGTCTCTGGAGGCCCACCCCTGTCCCTCTACCCAGCTTCATTGATGAAGGGGCAGTGTCCGCTCCCCAGCACCAAGCTCTGGGTCAAGCACTGACCTGGGGTGAAGTATTCCCCATAGGCGGGTGGCGTCAGTGGCTGGAAGTTTTCTTGTTCTTGAGATGGGTGACGGAAAAACCAAAAAGCTGTTAAAACTTGGTCACAGAGACCCAGAGAAAACCATGGGGGATGTGGGCAGGGGAAACAGAGATAGGTAGACATAGGCTGTGCGAGAGAGACAGACAGGCAGATAGGGAGGAAGAGATTCAGAAGGAGGAACACATATGTTAAGTATGACAAAGAGACACAAGAAGAGAAAAGAAGACAGAGGCACACTTGAGAAGAGAGATACAGCGCGTCAGAGAGAGAGACAGAGGAGTGCCAAAAGAGACGTACAGAGTGAGAGAGAGAGGGAGGCATATTTAGACAGAGATGTAGGCAGCCAGAAGAGACACAAAAAGAGACAGATAGGGACTCACGGGGCAAGAATTAGAGAGAAGAGACAGCAATAGGAAAAGGACCAGAGACTCGGAGTGGAAGGACCAGTGGGCCCAGGGGCTGGTGTTTGCTGCCCATTGGACCCCGTGGAGCTCCCTTTTAGAGGGCATGTAAGTGGGCACGGCTTAGATGGGGGCTCTACACAAACAGGCAGGATTAGGACCAGTCCTCAAGGGGCAGGGGGCTCCTTTGCCCCATACAGCTCAGCCAAGGTATGGAAAAGCGGCCCCCAGTCATCCAGGGGCTCAGGGGGCCCAGAGGGGCCACCTGCCTCACTGCCCGAGCCCAGAGAACTAAGCGAGCCACAAGATGAGCCTCGGCCTTCGTAGCCATACACTTGTACAGAGTCATACGGTGGGACACCAGGGTCTTCATCTGCCTCCCGAAGCCTCAGGGCCAGCAGCTGCACTACATCTGCAGGACCAGGGGGCCGTGGCTGTCGAGGGGGCTGGGCCCTGGGCAACACATCTCGACGAGCCGGTGGAGCTGAGGCAGGCGGGGCAGCGCCATCCGGGTTCTGCAGGGCTGTGATGTCGAAGGCCTCTGTGTCCTCCTCACCACCGCCCTCATCATCATAGGTGATAATGTTCTCTCGAACATCTTCCTCTTCCAACACCATGAGTGCCTCTTGCTTCTGTCGCCGGAGGGCCACGAACAGCACCACCAGGGCTGGTGAGGATGGAGAGGTCAGCTCACCCCACTAGAGGCCCACCTGATTGCTCCAGGAATGAGATCTTGGTCCCCATACCTTTCTAAGTGGGTCAATGCCATGCCCTTTCCCCAGCCCATTGGCTATATGATGTATATTCTGTCCCTCCCTTGCTTCTCCTAATGTCTCACTATAACCCACGTAGCCTCTTACCCAGGAGGGTGCCTACACAGGCCAGAATAGCAAGCAAAGCCCCGGTGCTGAGTCCTGCTGGGGAGAGCTGGGCCTCAGGTCGGCAGGAGGCCACTGAGCCATCAGGCTTACAGCGGCAGATGCTGACTGTCACCGTAGCTGTGCTGCTCAGTGCCGGCTGACCCCAATCACGCAACTCAATGGGCACCAGGTAGGGCTCCCGGCGAGGCAAGACCAGGCGGTGGGGCCACAGCAGACTGGCAGAACCATCTGAGGAGGGAGAGGGAGAGAGAAAGAAGGTAGCAGGAGGGCAAAGGGACCAAGACTGAAGGTGAGACTAGGCTTGCTAAACCAGAACCCAGCTCAGAGATGTTTCAGGTTGTGCCAATCCATCCTGGTGCAGGGCGGGCTAGGGGCCTCAAGGTAAGGGGCAAGGCTTAGGAAGGAGAGCTGTATATATATACACACATACATACATACATACATACATACATATATATATATATATTATATATATATAAATATATAAATACATATATATATGTATATTTTAAAGCAGCTGGCAAAACTAAACACAAATCTATCCCCTTCTGTTATTTTTGGTTTGTGGCAGCATCCTTGCCTGGGGGAGGAAGGGAAATAAATAAGGTGAAATTGGGAGCTAGGGCCGGGGGAAGGTCTGAACCTGTATGAGAATCATGGTGGGAGGGATAGGTGTATTGGGGGAAGTTGTATGTGTTATGGAGGGTCCATCATTTGCATTTGGGGAATGTGGGGAAGGGGGTGGTAACTTAAGCAGGAGAGGAGTGGTACAGTAGGGGGACATACGGATGTATGCCAGGGGAAGATGTGTGGCAGGGAGACATGCCAACAATTGTATGAGTGCATTCATGTGTTGGAAGGCATGTGAAGGCATCACCTACCTCGATTATCCCGGACAGTGAAATTGGCATCAGGGCCCAGGGGGCTACTCAGGGAGACATAGCTACTATTGCCAACTTCATCTCGATCCAGAGCCCGGACAACCTGAATCAGCTGGGAAAGGAGGGCAGGACTCAGAGGAATGAGAGTGCCTTAAGGTCCCTGCCTCCTCCTTGCTCTGTCATGAAGCCCTACTCACCTGGCCAGGGGCAGCTGTGTCACACACAAAGGTGTCATAGGGCTCAGCCAGCTGCGGGGCGTTGTCATTCTCATCCAGTGTTTGGATTGTTACTTGTACCCGGGAGGCCTGTGCAGAACTATCTGAAGCCAGAACACACACACACAGAGCACATGGTATAATTCAACACACAGTGCACACACGATACACACATGTGCATAACACATACAAAGCATGAAACACACAAAAGCCAATACAATACAATGCGGTGCAGCACCACTCAGCAGGCATGCAATATGTCAGTGCACAGATGCCATGTTGGTGCATGTGTGTACTCCACAGACAGGGCACATAAGATACACATGACACACACATGACTAGATAAGCAATACATGTGCAGGCATCACATTCAGCCCAACAGACACATGCACAGCACCCAGCAGCACACACTATCAGAAGAATCTGAGTTCCAGCTGTGAGCTGAATTTCCCCACGGCCATAGCACACTGCTGGGCACTGTACATGATTCAGTTCCACCATCCTGACCTTGGTGAGGGAGCAGCTGCATAATCTACAGGACTCGGAATGTACAGGCAAGGGGAGGCCAGCCACGACTCAGGGCAAGTCAGAGCATGAGTTAGTCTCGCCCTGTCACCTTCCTGTTCGTCATGGCCTACTTCCAACATTACCTCCTCTCTCTTCCCACTTATTCCCTGTCTACCAATACTCATGCCACCCAAACAGCTGGTCAGATGCCCTACAGAGTCAGCCTCTACATACTGCAAAACAATGAACTGTCCTCCTCTTACCTGAATACTACCGCCTTCCCCCAGGCTGAGTCATCCCATTTCCAATAACCTTGCCAACTAACCCTCTCCATCCCTCCTCTGGCCTCTCTCCTAGCCTTCCTCATATCTCTGGTACTGGGAACCCCATATGTGGCCCTGGAGAAATATGCTCCAGTGAGGCCCTGAGCAACATTAGGGAGCATGAGAAAAGCTCCTGTTTCCCAGGTTTGGAGCCATTAGGCCTAAGAGAAGAAGGAAAGGTAGCCCAGAGAAAGCTGGGTAGCAAGTAGACAAAAGCCCTGGACAAAAAGTCTAAAGAGGTCTCCCCTGACTCAGGCACTTATGTCTGGTTGTTTCTGGGGTCAGCCTTGGCAAAGATGAGTGGGAGGGTCTGACTGTGTCCCAGAAAAAGGATAGGAACCATCCCAGAAATAGGAATGAGACAACTTCTTTGATCTAATATGTATGCAGGAAGTCTCAGCAGGTTCGATGGGGAAAAGGCAAAGAGAGCCTCATGTACATGAGTGCACATTATAGACTTACACATAAACACAAATACATCCATTCATGCATATATTGATGCACAAATACCCCAATATAGATTTACATACGTATCTATACACTTATAGTCATGCATGTACACAGACAATACAAATACACAGAAAGCAGGGAATACACCAGACATAACTTTCTCCCTCCCCTCCATCCCTTGGGACAGATGATCAGGGCTAGGTCCTAGGGAGCCAGGGGAAAGCAGAGCAGTTATGTAATAGGGAGGGGGGAGGGTAGGAGGGAGGAAGGGAGAAGGCAGTACTGAGGCTGCCTGAGCTGGGCAGAGGTAGGAATATAGCTCCCATGGGGGCCCTGAGAAGAAGCAGTAAAAATGCCCAGAATCAGACAGATGGGAGAAGAGTCAGAAATATCATGCCCCAGCCCCTCAGAATTTATCCTGGAATTCCAGCAGACATGGAATCCCACTACCCGATTCCCCTTCCCCTTCTATCTGCCTCTCCCTGGGTCACTCTCATTATCTCCTGTCATATTTGCAAACTTTTTAATGCTATATAAATGTCAATGATTATGATACTGAGTAGTACAGTGTGGTAGATACAGTTGCTCAATTCAGAGTTGGGAAGAGCTGGATTCAAATCCTGTCTCAAACACTTACTAGCCTGGATGCCCCTGGGCAAGGCACTTATTTCAGCCTCAGTGTCCCCATTTGTAAAGTAAGGCCTAATAATAGCACCTGTCTCTTTGATGTTTGCAAACCACAAACTGCTATAGAGATGTCATTCTTCTTCTTCCCTGAAGCAGTAACTAGAAAGGGTTTGGGTTTTTAGTGTGTTTTCAGGGGAAGGCAGTGTCCGGGCTGGGAGTCTCTTGGGGATCAATGACATTAGGGAGTGGTAGTGCAGTAGGGGGCGGCATCAGTGGGGTGTCAGGGCTAGAATCAGAGTTGGAAAAGGTATATCAGGGTGGAGAATTTGTTGGAGATGGGATAAGAGATTGAAGGGAGAATCAGAAGATTCAGGCCATGTTCCTGATTGTACAGCTAAGGCTAAGGGTGGACACATGTCTCTGTTGCACAGCAGCACTATTGCCACTGCTACCATCAGTGCTTCACTAGCAACCCCTCAAATTCCTCCAGAATAAGAAATCTGTTCTCCCTTCATCCCTTGACACTTCCTGTATCTTTCTCTAACACCCACCTCTCCTCTGTCAGCTACCCTGGGGACTCTGGCTCTCCCTAGCTCCTTCCTCTCCCTTACCAAGTTCAGTGGCCAACACGGTGAGATTGTGCCAGGTTCGAGCTTCCCGATCCAGAGGCACAGATGTCCGGATGGTGCCGTCCTCGGGCTCAATGGAGAAGCAGCGCTCGGGATCTGAGTGGGGGAGGATGGAGTATCTGAAGAAAGAGGTGTCAGGATTAGTGGCTGGGGATGGAGCATGAAATATCTGGGGGGAGGCTTGAGAGCTGATCTAATAACAATAACTGACATTTCTATTGTGCATTATGCATTAGAAAGCCCTTTCCTTACAACAACTCTGAGCTGGGTAGGCTGAATATTAGGATCAAAGATTTAGAGCCAGAAGGAAACTGAGAAGCCCTCTAGGGCAACCTCTGTATTTTACAGATGAGGAAACTGAGGCTCAGTAAGATTAAAATGACTCAGGGGCAGCTAGGTGGCACACAGCACTGGCCCTGGATTCAGGAGGACCTGAGTTCAAATCCAGCCTCAGACACATAACACTTACTAGCTGTGTAACACTGGGCAAGTCACTTAACCCCCATTGCCTAATCCCACCCCACCCCCTAAAAAAAAAGATTAAACTGACTCATCCAAGGTCATACTGGCAGTTAAATGAGACAGCCAGGATTTGAATCCAGTTTCCCAATTCCAAATCCAGCTCTGTTTCTACTGTGCTAGATTAAGCTTTCTTCTTAAATGGGGAAACTGAAATACAGAGAAGTTAAGTAACTTGCCCCAAGTAACACAGCAAGTAAGCAGTGCTGTTTCTACTGCACTATGGGTACTAGGGTTTGGAGTACCCCAATGTCATTCTCCTAGGTTAATTCTCAAAGCTGCGTTTGGAAAGAAATTGAGCTCTTTGGGGTCAGGGCCAGTTTCACCAGTAGAATCTACCTGGCATGATTTTGGGGCCCCAGGAAGGCCCCTTTCCCTTAAATTATCTCCTCACTGGATTGTCATTTTGCCTGAAATTAACCCTTTTGGTTAAGAAACCTACCCAGATTCACCTCTACAAGGGAGAACATAGAAAGTTATTATCAGTCATTAACACCTTAGAAGGAATCAGTTGATCAGATCCTTAGAGTAAATTAGCTTACCAGATTCTAAGAGTTTAGTGTCCATGGGAAATGGTAGAAAGGGAGGTTCAGAGAATGAGCTTTACCTGGGAAGGCAGGTCGGAGCAGGGTGTTGTGGTGTGGGCTGGGAGGAATCCCCCAAGAGGGATGTAGGAAGAGGATGTGGGAGAGTAATAGACACGCTTTACTGTTACTACAGTTTTGCTGAGGGTGGGGTCAGGGGGCATCCGTCCAGAGGGATAAGGAGGCCACTCTCTAGACTCCCCTAAGCCCAGGCTGTGCTTGGGGTCATGAAGGCCTTAGTACTTAGGACTGGAAATGAAGAGGAAGGGGGGTCCTGATGGAGTCCAACTAGTGGTTTCTCCTATCTGAATAGTATTTGGGAAAATGGATGCCTGGAGGGGGGAGGGGGCTGAAGGGAAACTGGAGGAGATGAAGGTCTGGGAGGCTACTGGAGAGGGATAGGCCAGGAACTGGCATGTCAAGGAAGGCCAAGGGGACACAGGGAGAAACAGGGGCTGGGAGACATTGGGTAGGAGGAGCAGGAATAGGACTGGAAAGCCTTTAAACTTTGATATTAAATGACTGACAGAAGCAAATGAGGAGATGGCTTTTGAACTGTCCTTTGCCACTGAATATGACAGGGCTATGGCCCCTTGAGCCTCACCTGATGGGGCTGGCGGGTGAATCGAGGTCCATAGCAGAGACACGGCCCACCAGGGTCCCCGGAGCACTGTTCTCAGGCACAGCCAAGTGGTAAGTAGAGTGGGTAAAGACGGGTGGTTCTGGAGCATCCTGGACTACCACACGGACAGAGGCCACGTCCTTGAAAGGCCCACGACGCAGGTAGGCTGGGTCGATGAGTGTATTTGTGGCCTCCACACGGAAGGCATAAGATCTGCGGCTCTCAAAATCCAAGGGCTAAGAGTGGGAGGAAACAAATCTGTAGAGGCTGGGGTGGGACCCTGGAGCCCATCGCATCCCTCCCAGACTGGACAGACTCCTCTGTCCTGGGCCTGGGATACTGTCTGACCCCAGAGTAAAGACCAGGGTCTAGGGGCTAGACATCATTTGGTGATTCATTCTCCCTTCCCTGGAAAGAATGGGAGCCCTCTGATCTGGAGAGCATCTGGGGATGCATCAAAGCAGGAGGAAGAATAATTCAATTAGAAGTGAATAGATGGTTACAAGGCAGGGATGCTGGGTGGGATGCCACCCCCTTCCCCCTCCCCAAGGTGGTTAAGTAGGTGAATGTGTATCTGGGGTAATGTCTCAGAAAGTGGAGCACAGAAAGTGGGTGTTGGCTTGGGGCAGGGGGGAGAGGATGTCAGATGCTGGGGCACACCTTGCGTATGGTGAGAAGCCCATCTCGGCCTTGGGCATCAGTGCTGATACTGAAAGTCTCAGCCCCTTCCCCATCCAGGATGCTGTAAGCCATGAGGGCGTTGTCTCCCAGATCAGGGTCTTGGGCTCGAAGCCTGCCCACTAGGGCCCCTGGCCCTGCAGTCTCCACCACTGAAAACTGGTATAGGCCTTTGAAGAGAAGGGGGAACAGACTCAGAATGGCCCCTTCTCCTTTCCCAGCTACTCCCATCTCCTGGAAGAAGGGGAAAGGAGGTCCATGGGAGGACTCCTCATTCCTCTTCCTCCCATTTCCCTAGAAAGCTCCCTCGAGGGCCTCCTTCCCTCCCTTTATCTTGGTTTCTAGAGGACTAGAGGGGTGAGCAGAAGGTTTCCCCAGGGCCCTCCTCCCTACCTCTCAGGAGAAGAGGCCTGAAGGGAATGTGATTCAGAGAATGAAGGAAATATAGGCACAGGGGCTAAGAGGCCGAAATTCAGAGAAGGGGACAAAGAGGGATAGAGTTGGTGCCCTTACTTTGAGGGAATTTGGGGGGGTTGTCATTGACATCGCTGAGAGTGACAGTGACTGTGGTGCTGCCCGACAGCCCCCCCATGTGGCCACCCATATCCTTGGCCTGAATCACTACCAGGAACACTTCCTGCGTTTCCCGGTCCATGTTGGGAATTGCTGTCCGGACCACTCCTGGAAGGAGATGGGATGACACTAAGTCAAAGGCATGATACCCACCCTCACCCTCTTCATTGGGTATCCTTTAGACCCTTCCCCTCTGTTGCTTCCAAACCTCACCAGTCTGGGGGTCCACAGAGAAGAAAGGCAGGCCATCCAGCACTGTGTACACCAGCTTGGCACTGTTCCCATAGCTAGGGTCATCAGCGTCTTGAGCTGTCACCTGAATCACTGATGTCCCTGCCAGGGAGTCTCCTGTCACCCCCAGCTCATAAGGTAGGCAAGGAGGGGGCAGGAATGAGGGCAGTGATGGGATGGGAAAGGCTGTAGTAAGTTAGATGAGAGGATTAGAAAGTGGTTTGGGCCAGTGGGCTGTGGGGCAAGTGTTGAACGATGGTCTGGGATGGGGGGGGTAGCACCCTGGAGGTAGGAGCTGGCCCTGAGCAGATGGGGTGTGGAAGGGAGTATCCTGAAATAGGGGAAAAGATATTTGGAATGGGATTAGGGAGAAGGCCTGGAGGAATGGGATGCATCTGGTATAGAAACTGGGAATGAGCAGCTTGCTACGGGAAACACATGGGAGAGGAGTCTAGTTTATGCCAAAGGAAATTTGGGGTAGATCAAAGCAAGGGTCCCTCACCGACATTGGACATCTCTGGCACAGTGGCATGGTACGGCCCAAGGGGGAAGACTGGTGGGTTGTCATTGATGTCTTGCACTTTAATGATGAACTCAGATGGTGGCTCTAAGGGCCGATTGGAGGCTCTGTCCACAGCCTGGGCCAATAGCACATACTGGGCCTTCTCCTCCCTGTCTAGGCTCTTGGTGACATGGATATTGCCAGTAGCCTCATCAATCACAAATACAGTGCCTGCTCCCTCCCCTGTTAACAGGTACTTGGTTCGGCCCTCACCACGGTCGACATCTGAGTGAAGCTGTAGGGAAAATGGAGGTAGGGGTCAGATATGAGAAAGCTGCTGGGGAAAGCACAGCAAGGGGAATGGACATAAGGGATAAGAAGGCTCATGCTTGGGGACAAGGGACTTGACCAAGGTGAAGGAAGGAAGTGAGATAGCTTAAGCTAGGAGGAAGGGTCAAGTGGTTGGGAAATATGAGACTGTTTTGAGGGGAGGGGTTAATTCTTACTCTGCCAATGAGGACAGGTTCGGGGCCAGCATACTCCTCGATGACGAAGAACTGGTTCCAGACCCAGCTCCTTCTTGCCCGAAGCAGTGTAGGCCCCTGGCCCTCCCTGATACCAGCCCATGCTTGGGCTGGGGCAACCAGCCTCCCTGCACAACCCCAGCTCCCCAGCCAGGCCAGCAACAGCCACACAAAGACCCACATGCTTTGAACCTGGTTCTGGTGTTGGCTCAGCCCAGGCTCCACTCACTGACCCACCGGCCCTCTCCCCACAGTGGTGCTGTCCATGTGGTAGATGGGGCCGGTAGGGCAGGTATGTGGGGCTATCCCATCAGTCCAAACCTGCAGAAAAGGAATTGGTCAGCAGGGGAGAAGAGTAAGATCGCCTCAGATCCCCCAACCTGGACACACTGATAACCAGACCCATCAGTAACCACTCCCCAATACCTTCATTGCTAGTTGATTTAGTGCTAAGAAAATAATTTAAGGGTTTGGGCAGAAGGGGACAGATAGGACAGGAGAGGCTCAAGCTGGAAGGGATAGGGAAGGAAACAGAGAAGAATCCCAATACCTTCACGATTTAATATTCCTAGCCACCCCCATCCTTCTTCCCACCTGCACTATCCCTATATTCACCTCTGGCCTCCAACTTGTCGAATCTCTGATCAGTCACGGTGCAGAAGGGAGAGCTGGAGAGAAAGGAGAGAAAAATGGGAGAAGGGGCCAGAATGTGTGGAGGGTCTGAGAAATCTTCAGTCTGGGCTCTCTTCCTCTCAATTTGCCACTCTCTCCAACACAGGGTGACCTAAGACTCTATGACTTGCATCTTTAGGAGCTCTGCCTTGGGAGCCTAAGGAGGAGGGGCTGAGGAAAAGGGCTTGATCAAACCCACCAGACTTAATAGGGGTTTGATTCTAGGGGGTGTGTGGCCTAAGATGATCTGAGGGAGGGAATGAGAGGTGAAGGGGGAGGGAAGTAAAACCAAATCTCTAGGGAGGTAAAGAAAATGAGTGAGGCCTAAGAAAAGAGGTGACCCCTGACATGGACTTCTGAGGCCCCAGACCCCATGTGAAAGGCACTGCTGGGCTCAGTCAGTCCGCACCGCAGTGACACCCCTTGGAGCTAAGCAAAGGGACTGGTGGGGAGTGGGGCACAGCTGGGGGCCAGGGATAGGAAAAGAGGAGAATGGGGAAGAGAGGAGCCACTGAGAGAGACATAAAGATGAGTGAGGGTGATAGAAGAAAGCAAGAACACTTGAATGATAGTGGTAGAAAGAGATCAACGAAGGGAGGCAGAGAGTGACTGAAAGGCAGAGATACATAGAGATACAGAAAGAGCACAAGATCCAGAGAGCTGGACCCCAGTGAAGAGTCAGTATGGAAGCAGAGAAGAAACTGCAGGTAGTGGTAACTGGGGAGATCCTCAAGAGCCGGGGTCAGACCAGGACAAGAGGGAACTTCAGAGTCTGGGGAAATGGGGACAGACAGGAAGGGTTCAAGCAGGGAACAACAGAAGAGGAAGAACGAGGAGCCCAAGTCCCATTCCACTCTATTACCCCCCCCTCCCCTGGAGGACACCCCATGTAGCACCCTGCTTCAGTCCCTCCTCCTTACCAAGATCCAGACACCTGACAGCCTGTCTATCCAGTGGGAAGCCAGGGAATGGGAAAGAGGGAAAGGGAGACAGGTAGAGATAAAAGATGAAAAGGGGGAAGAGAGAAAGAGAGCAAAGAGAAAAGGGAAAGGGAAAAAGAGACGGAAGACAGAAGGGGAAAAGAGAAAAAGGAGAGAGGAAAGAGGAAAGGGAACAAGGGGCAAGGGAAAGGGGGAAGATAGAGATGAATGATGGAGGGGGGAAGAGGGAGAGAAAGAGGAGAGAGGGAAAGAGAGGAAAGAGGAAAGGGAATGAGAGGAGGAAAAGAAGAGGTGGTGAAAGGGTACAATGGGACAGATAGGAAGAAGGGGAGGAAGGAGAGAGGAAAGAAGAGGGAAGGGCAAGGAGGAAAGAGAAGGAAGGGGGACAAGAATGATAGTTATAGAAGGAAGGGACAGAAACCGAAAGGAGAAAGATACTGGGTAGGAGAGAGATGGGATGCGAAAACAGGGTTTGGGAAGAGGGTGAAAAGAGGGAATGAAAGAGGAAGGGAAAGAGGAAGAGAGGAGCAAGGTGAGACAGAAGGAAGAGAGCTGGAAAAGGGAATATAGCGGATGGGTCCCCGGTGTCTGTCTCAGAGCAAACCCCTTAGAGGGACCGCAGAGCCCCCTCCCTTTGCCTTGCCGACCCCAGCTGCTCCGGGGCGGGTGGAAGGTCCGCTTACCTGGGCTGGAGCGAGGGTCTCTGCCTCTCTCCCAGCAGGAGAGCGAGCGACAGGCAGGAGAGAGACACCCACACCCACACACAGCCCCACACCTCCCTCCCACCCCACGGCCACCCGCGACTGAAGCGCAGAGACCCAGACTGGGGAGGACGCCGGAGCCCGATCGGGAGGGAGCGGGAGCAGAGGCTTTGCTGCAGGTCTGAGCGGCCCCGGCGAGAACAAGAGCGAGACGGAGCCGCGGGGCGGGGGGAGCGCGAAAGGGGGGCGGGGGAGGAGGAGGCTCCGCCTGCAGAGGGAGGAGGGGGGAGGAGGACGAAGAGGAGCGGGAGAAGAAGAGGGAGAGGAAGAGGGAGGAAGAGAAGCAGGAGGAGGGAGAGGAGGAGGCAGAGAGGGAGAGGAAGAGGAGGACAGGGAGGAAGAGGAGGGAGGAAGCAGAAGAGGGGGAGGAGGAGGAGGGGGAGAGGGATGAAGAGGGGGAAGAGGAGGAGGAGGAAGAGGGAAAAGTGGGGTGCAGAAAGGAGGGGGAGCTGGCTTTCTTTTCCTTCCCGGCAGACCCTCACCTGGCGGGGCCGGGGCAGTGGAGACTCCCTCACTCCGCCCCCCCACGTGTGTGGAAAGGCGCTTCTCAGGCGCATACAGATGCCGTCCCCCTGCACCCCTGCTCCGGCCTCGAACCCGGCCACGCTGAGCCCTGTCCGGCTCCTCCATGCAGCCTGATTATGGGTTGAGGGTGACCCCCAGCCCTACTCAGGGGGCAGCTCGGGGTGCCCAGGTCGAGGGCAATCTTGGAGGGAGGACGGCCCCTGAGAGACACAGTAGTCTTCAGAGGCTGCATCCCTACGGAGAGGGCCGAAGGGGTCGGAATGGGCCCGGGAAAGACGGGATTTCCAGGGGCGGCGAGAAAAGCAGCCTACGTTTCGGGACGGTCACCCTCAGTAGTCAGCATGCAGGGCGACTGCCCCCTGGCGGCAAACGCGGGGAGTCTTATCTTGGAGCGGGATGGTGAAGAAAGACACTGCCACCATGTGCAGAGGTTGTGGTGGGGAGAAGGGGGTTTTCTCTCCACAACATTCCGCACTCCTCCAGCTGTACCTCAGGAGGAACTGGAAGGTCAGTGTGCCTCCCTCCCATTCCCCAAAGACCCTTCACTGGTCCTCTTCAGGTGGAGGGAAATAGGACACAGTATTCTACACTGGTGCAAATTTTATGCCACCCAGAAAAGTTGAGGGGTTGAACAGAGGCTGGTCTCCAGAACCCTCCGAACAGCCTTCTAGGTAGTGATCCTGCCACCTAAATGTATGCTTTGGGATCTCCCAGCTAAGAAAAGTCTACCAAGGCCAGGAAGCAGAGCCCTCCCTCCCTCCTCCCCCACTAACTCCCAAGGAAACCCAACCGCACAATAATAGGTAAAACTAAGTCAGATTTTTATTTTTCCATAGACCACATCATTTAATAATAAAAAAAATAAAAATAAAAATAGAACAGAAGGAAAAGGTGGATATAAAGTGGAACTTGTGGGCCAGGGGGAGGCTGAAGGGCAAGAGGGAAATACTTCAGGAACTGCAGGGGCCTGGGGACTGGGGAGGAGAGATGCTGATTCAGCTCATAGGTGCCCCAGTCCTGACCCCAGCTATTCCTGAGGGGAGGTGAGATCCCCGCAGGGGAGGAGAGGGGAAGGGAGTGAAAGGAGAACAAGTTATAGGGAAAATGAAAGATGGGAGATAAGGATGAGGGAGATATGGAGGATACTGAGTCCCCTGGCTGCTTCCCATCTTTAAGATTAACCTTTACCCCCTCCCTCCTCCCCCCAGAATGGGTCTTAGCCCTACACAGATCCAGAAATGGGGTTTGGGGAAAAGGCTGAAGGGCAAATGGGGCAGCACACAGCCACTTCTCCCCGTGTTCTGTGAACAAAAAGAGGGACACACTTCAGCACAGGTAAGTCTGTGCAATACCCTCAGGGGTCAAGGTGGTGGCAGAGTGCCCATCCCTTTGTGGCTCTTACCCCCCACCAGCAGGGTGGCTGATGCCTGAGGCTTTCCTTAGGGTGGGGGATTCCAGCTAGCGGCGCCCACCCCTGTCTCGCACCGGGGTGCTGCGGCTGCGGCTTCGACTGTGCCGCTTGGTGTCCCGACGATCCCTCTCACGGCCCCGTTCCCGATCCCGATCCCGATCCCCCCCGGTCCCTCTCCCGTTCCCGCTCTCTTTCCCTCTCTCGGCTGTGCTCTCGACGTTTCTCCCTCTCTAGCTGCCGGCTCCGCTCTCGCTCAGCCTCTTTCTCTCGTTCTTTCTGTTCTTCTTCCTCCTGCTCTTTTCGCCGTTTCTCACGCTCCTTGGCCCGTTCGGCCCGCTCGGCCTCCTTCTGAACAATCTGTGGGCCAAGCAAGGGAGTCAGGGCGTCTGCTATCTGTGCTTCTTAACAGAGGGGTTTTGCCCCTTTCCTGTAACCCTGCCCACTCTGTGACTGACACCTCCCTTATCCATACAACCCACATCCCTTTGGGTTGTCTCCAGTCTTTCTTTATACAAGAGAAAGCTCACCTGGCAGTCAGTCAGAGGAAGCCAGTAGATGCAGGGTGCTGCCTTGGTCTTACGGAACAAGTCATCCAGCAGCTTGGCAGGTGGTTCCTCCTGGGCTTTTTCTGTGAAGACAGTGAATGGTTAGGTTCTGACTGTGCCTGGCCCCAAAGTTTATCCCATCCAGTTGGTGGGTACATCTGGCACAATCCTACAGCTGAGGATGGGAAAAGCTATGTGTAGCCCAAATCAATACCTTTCTTTTCACTCTTCTTCTCTTTGGACTTGGCTCGTTCCTTTCGGCGGCGGTCACGGGAGCGAGATCGGGAACGGGGCCCTTCACGAACCTTGTCCCGGTCCCACTCCCGTTCCGATCGAGTACGTTCCCGTCGCTCCATCTCTCGCTCTCGCTCTGCCCACTGCTCCCGCACTGCCCGCTCCTGCTCCCTCTGCTCTGCCCTTGGATGATGAGGTGGCTGGGCTGGGGGCGGGGGCGGAGGGTGCAGGGGCCGTGGGCCTCCCTGTTCCTCAGCTTTAGGCTCAGAGGGCCGATCAGGCAAGAGGCCTCGGTGAAAGTCCAGCTGAGGGTACAGAAAAGCAAATAGTAAAGAGAAAATGAAGATACTGTTGGTGGATTGGTTCGGGTAAATTTCAGTGGCATTTCTTAAGCAATGTTACAAGTTCAGTTATGGAAAGGGCAGTGGGCACTGGAAAGAAATCTTTCCTTTCAGAGGCCCTGACCAAGGTGTCAGGGAAAATCCTTAATGAAAGGACCCTGGTGCCCTAGACCCTTAGAAAGGCTGCCCTATCTTAGTGAGGACAGGGGAAGATAAGATGACCCATCTCTTTTCTATTTCTTTCTTCCTAGGTCTCATACCTCATCCTGCTCTGCATAGTCAGCACACAGGAATTTGGGATTGGACTGGGGCCACTTAACTCCATGCAGAGCTGTTCGAGTGGCAACAGCTTCCTCTACTGTTGAATACTGATAAAAGAGCAGGAAAAAAGATCACTTGTAAAGCCTTCAATTTAGTCACCATCCTACAGTATCCCAAGACCAGTTCCCAAAGGACCTCAACAAGCCTCCCCATCAAACAATCCTTCCTCCTCACCGTGACATAACAATGGGACTTGATTTTATCTATCCAGAAGGCTTCTTCCACCAGGGTCCCTGTACGACCCAGCAACTCCTTCAACTGGCCTAAAGTAAAGGGACGAACCTGCCGATGAAAACGGAATGTCAAAAGCCACAAAGGAAATAAAGGTAGAAAGGCAGTCATTCCTAAGGTTTCTTAATACCCTGTGAACCAGGCAGAATGCTTAGAAATGCATACTCTTTAGTTGGAGGTGGGGATGGAAACTACTTACCAAATTGGAGATATGGACAATGTTATTGATCTTGCCCCGAGGTGGTGAAGGCACCTGGGCTGTACGAACAGGATCATCAATTGTGATAGACACACCAGACTTCTGCTGGCTGATTGAACGCCGGGTCAGAGTGTCTCCCAGCGTCACTGCAAAAACAAAAACCACGAATGGTTGTCAGCAGGGCATAACTGTAGCATTATTACCTTCTCTAGTCTTTTCATTCCCTTATTACTCACCTTTTTTTACTTCATGCTCCACAGGTGGAGGCAAGGCAACTTCTACAGAAACCTGAGGTACTTCAGGGGGCTCGACTTCAGGCTCTTTTTCTTCCTCCTCTTCTTCACGCTGCCCGTTTTCCTGGCCCTCCGCTGGCACCACCTATAGAAAGGAAGAAGGTAAGGGAACATATCAGGGGCACTGAGGCATTCCCTAACAAGGACATCATATCCATGACCCTGACTCTTTCTGGTGAGGCAGGGAGGAACAGATCTCAGAAGCTCTTTCTAAAATGCTAGAAATAATGTTAAGTGAAGCATATCATCTGTAACAGATTCTCAATACTGGGTACAAATACACGAGTCCCTGATTTGTAGTAAGAGACACTGAATCAATGGAAAAGGTGAGACAGTCCAATCTATGATGCCTACCTCGATAGCTACCCTGTTCCCAGCCACTTCTAAATAGGGAGAACCTCTCCATGATCTGGCTCCTTAGCACACCGAGCCTTTTACCTGAGTGACAGTCCGGCATATCTTCAGCCCCTTGTCGTGGGTTCCATCCTCACCATTGCGCTCTGTCTCATCTTCAGAGATCCTTGAGTCATCAGCATGTAGATCCACAATGGCCTCCTGCCCCACCAGGGGTTTGATGTCGGGGATAAGGCTCTGGGACACAGATACCCCCCACCCCGTTACACTGGGCCCACATCTACTCCCACTTCCCCACATCCCACCCCTCAGGCTTTTCCCACCTCACCTTGAGAGACTCGGTGGTGATACTGATGGAGGGCTTCTTCTGTGTGGTGGCTGTGCTAGCCCCCCAACGCCTCTTCCGTCCTGGCTGGCCTCCTTCTGTGTCACTGTTTCCAGCTGGTACCCCTTTGGTAGCCGCTACCCCCAAGAAACAAGGCTCAATTGTGAGATGGCCAGGGGCTCTATATTGGTTCCCTCTGTAATCCCTTTAACTGACCAACCTTTAACTTGGTTTACCTATCCATCCATCACTCCAGATTGTTAACATATTTTAAAAACTAAGGCAAGTAACCTTAGAGATTGGAAAAAACTTGTCTTCAGAGTGAACAAGAACAGAGTAGAACTATTTCCTCACTGAAAGAAATTACCTACCTGTACTTAAAGGCAGCAAATCACAATTTGTTTAGTGGGGGCTGTGTGAAAAGGAAAACCCCTAAGCAGTTTAACTTTTCAAATAGAGGCAGAAATGACAAGAATTTATGGTTTATGCTGGGGCCCAGAATTTAAAAAAAAAAATTCTATCAAACACTCCCTAGCAGGATGGAAGAAACTCCTCTGTGAGATAAGAGGGTCTTCATTCCTATTCTCTGGCTCTAGGAACTTAGGTGTTTGAAGGAATGTGTCTCCCTCTACATAGTGCTTTAGGCTTTAGAACTGCAAAGAACAAGAACGGAGAGACAGTCAATGGACAGCAGGGTCTGAAACACCTCACCTCACCCAATTTCCATTGGGAGGGAAGTAAGCCTTCCTATTACTTGGAAACTGGCATAAGTGCAAGGAGCTCAATGGAACCAGAGAAATGACAAAAACCTATACTCTTGGGGAAGAGAAAGATGCAGAGTAAGAGAGAAGTACATCTGTTCCATCAAAAACTTTGGTTGCTATGGGATCCCTAAATATCAGTGATTTAAGTCTGGACTTACAGACAACGGAGATCTTCCTCTTGAAGGATTTGGGCATCGAGCTCTGTATAGAGAAGAGAAGGGGAAAAAAAGAGAAAGAGACACACCCCACAGAGAGGGGG